ATCTCCCTCACTAGAATCTCTGGTGAATTTAAGTTCCGTTGGACTGTAACACCCATGATCCCCAGCCAGTACCTGCATACTGGTATTGATACCTTCACCTTTGACCCATCACTGAAATGCAGCTCCCCAAAGCCTCTCTAAATGGAAAAGGGCTTTGGGCTGTGAAAAGCCCATCCGCTCCTCGCAGGCCACCCAAGCTCCCCCCGCCCTCCAGGGAGTCACACTGCAAGCCCAGCAATGCGCCTGAGCCCGGGCTCAGGGCAGAAGCTGCAAGCTGGGCCACCCTGGTCCAAAGTCCTTGCATGCCGGTAGACAACCCGGCACGCCGCCCTAGAAACGTGAGGAAGCTGGCAAGGGGGCTGAAGAGCACTTCCAGGGAGGGGCCTCCCAGGTGGTCCTACCCCCCCCCCCCGCTTGCTCTCGGGCACCAGGCCTGGGCTGCTGGCAGCTCTGTGTGCCTGGCCGAGTGGGGCTGCAGCTGACCCCTGACAGCGGCTGGAAATTCTGTGTGGGAAAGCAATTAAAGTCCGAGTGCTGGCTGTTGCCATGGAGATGCCGATGGGTGTCTGCTTGCCCTGGCAGCCCCAGCTGCCTGGGAAAGTGGGCCACCTTTTCAGGCACAGCTTGCCTTCCGGAGTGGCAATGCAGCCTGCCGACATGAGGCAGGCCCGCCCCTCGTCTTTGGTCCCAACGCTCTGGAGCATGGCGGAAGGGCGCTGGGTCTCATCCCTCGCTCAGAGCTGGGCTTCTGAGACTTGCCTTTGCAAGCATCAGCCTGGGAGCCCCTGTCTGGGTGAAAAAGCGCTGAGCATTCCCTGCATCTGAGGCTGCGGGAGCGTCAGCCCCCCGCCCCCCGCCCGGGCCACTGCCCACGCCTGCTGGGAATTCCGTGGCGAAGGCTGCTGGGGCCTCGTCTGCCGGCGGAGGTGCCGGCCGGCCAGCCTCCATCCGAGTGCGAGGGGAGCCGTCCATGAGCCGACCGCCGGTTCAGCGCCTGGGAGCCCCTCGGCGTCCAGCTTAGCAGCCCCGTCAGCTCAACCGCAGCCACGGCTCTGCATCTGCCCTGTGTCTGAGACGGTAATCCCCTTGTTGATGCTGTCGCCAGCTGCAGGAATGTAATCCGGTCTGCAGGCGCGTGTGAGCATGTGCGTGTGCGTGCGTGTGCGCGCTGTACAGGGGAGGGAGGCAGAAGGGAGCAGGCCATTCAGCCAGGCTGGGGGATCACAGAAGTTCCGTGCTGGCTTATTCTGTTACAACATGTCCATCAGAAAATGCCTCCATAAGTCCACAAAGCAGCTTCTTGTCATTAAAGCCGTGTGGGCCCCACCTCCCCCTTCTTGCTGATTATCCCAGAAGAGAGCAATTTCCTTCCAATTCCTGGTGCGACAGATGAACATACGGCCCCGGAATCCAGATCCTACTTTACGCGGGAGGGGTTCTGCCTCCAGCTCAGAGCGAAGGGGGAGATGCCCGCTTTCCCCACTGCAAGGCACGCTGGACTGCAAGGCAGAGAAAAAGACGGCCGCATTCAAACAGCAAGTAGTTGAACGATGGGATTTGCTGGCACGAGGCGCTGCGATGGCCCGTATTGTGGATGGCTTCAGGGGGCTGGGGCAGGTTCATGCAGGAGAAGGCTGCAGAACTGTCCAGGATCAGGCACAAGAAGTGAATCGGGGCCTTTATGAATCTGGAGCAGCTGACTGGCTTTTTCTGAGCTGCCCAGGTCCCATGAACTTGTAGACTTCACACAAAAAGCCACACTGAAAATCTGAAGGGAGGATTTCCCCCCAAAGTCTGTCCAGCTGGAAAATCTTGACCTGTCCTGGATGGGGCTGCACTCCCCCAAAAGGGCCAAGCTCGCAGGTTGGGGGTGCTCCTGGACCCTGAATGATCTCTCGAGTCGCAGGTGGACTGTTTGCTCCAGCTGGTTCGGCACAGGTGGCATCTCTTTGGGCTGAACGGGTCGCCAGGTGAGGCCTGGGCCCGATTCAAAGTGCGGACATTACCATTGAGAGCCTGCAGTGGGCTGGGGCCGGGCCACATGGGGGAAAGCTCTTCTCTGAATGTCCCTGCCCAGCCCCTGAGATCTTCCACAAAGGACCTCTGGGAACCCCCGCCTGAGCAAGCAGGGCTTGTGAGTGGGCCTGCCCCCACCCGCAGCGTGCTCCGCTCCACTCGCCTTTTGGTGCCAGGTGTTTGGAAGGTTTTAACCTTGTCTTTATCTGAACTGCTCTGCTGTGCATGACAAGTTTTGTGTATTTGGAATTGGACTGGTTCTTACTGTTTTGCAATTGCTTTTTTTATCATTGTTTATGTTTTTACCTGTAAACCACCCAGAGAGCACTGCAGGCTGTGGGAGGGGCGTGCAAATGCAATAGGTAAACAAATAAATAACATGCCCACTGCTGCCAGTCTCCCATCTGCACTTGTGCAAGTGTGTGATAGGGCACATTTGACAATGAATGCTAAATATCCAATTCCCTTAATGAGGGGAAAGCAAATGGAAAAGCAGCCGGTAATTTGCAAGGTACAGGCAGAATGGCCCTGCCAAAGGTTTCACGCCCCTGCCCTGAGTGCCACCTGCTGTGGAACATGGGCTCCAGGTGCGATCCCTTTGCGGAGCTCGTAGTGGGTTTTCCACAAGAACCTGCCTGGCCTGTGGACAGAACGCTGGACTGGATGGACCTTGGGGCTGGGCAAGCACCACTCTGCTGCTCTGAATTCCCAGGCTGCATGAGCTTTGGGGGAAGATGGGATGTGTAGTCTGATCCACTGCGGGAGCCCCTGCTTGGGCGAGACTTCGGCTGCCGCGCTTGGTGCCATGCTGCATCTCGGTGTTTCGGCCACCCAGGAACGATGGCACGGGGCAGGCAACCGACAGATGCCCGAGCCTTGGAATGTTTCCAAGCGGTCAGAACAGCTGGCCAGCTGGAGGGATTGTTCTGTGCTTTCTCATTATTGCAATGAAATAATGAAGGCTGGTAATTAAGGGCCAGCTTTTGCAGCAGAACAAAACCCCCTGCTTTTGTTTAGCTCTCTGAAAGAGCATTACAGAATGGACATTGTGGAGCTCTCTCAACTCGCCCAATTTCAAAGCTGCTTTTGGTTCTTTCTGTTTCTTAAAAGTGAAGCTTTTCTGCACTGAGTGGTTCCTTTGTGGGGGGGGGGGGAATGTGTGTGCGTGTGACTAGGCGAATGGGAGCCAGAACACAGGTTGGTGGGGGGACAACATTCTGGAAAGGGGCAGGGATGTCGGTCCCCCCATTATAGCCATGCAATCCAAAAGGCGCACCCCCAGAATCTGAGAAGTGCCCCAGAATCTGTGCAGGTGCACAGACCCTGCAGTGCCATTTTCTCCCTCCTTCCCTCCCTCCAAATCAGGATGGTGCAATAATGCACAGGATTGCCTTTCCTGCCTGAACATGCTCAGGATCGGACCCTTAGGGACGCTATCATTTTAAGCGGCATATATGGGTTGTAAAGATATCAGTCATAAGTTGGGTTTGTTTATTTATGGTTGCACTCACATCCTCCTTGTACTTTCCCCCTGCACGGGATGGAAATGGGGTTGACATGGGGGTCTCTCCTCTCCACTGACTTCCGCAGCCGCCCTGTGCGTTTGGCACGGCTGGGAAAGCCTCGACTGGCCCAGAGCACCCAGTGGGCTGTGCGGGACCCCCCATTCGGGCACCCTGGTTGAGCAGCGAGGAACGTTGTCCGGGGGCAGCCTGCACGGCTGCTGCCTTGCACACGGGAGCCGATCCGTGTGGGGAAGGGCTCCCACGTTCACCCCCTGAACTGGGGTGACTCTCTTTTTTTTTTGGCTGAACCCTGACAGGTTCCAGCATGCAGACGTCCTAGTCCAGCGACCAAAGTGCAAATAGAAACAGAGAAGCAGAAGGGGCCTCCGGGGCCATCTAGTCTGACCCCCGGCTCCACCTGGCTCTGCTCATGGCATGCCCACCACGCGCGTGTCCCATGATGGCATGTTTCTGGAGCCCTGGGAAAGGCTAGTTGTTCATGGCTCTTTCACTGTCCTGCCTGAGAACAGATGAGTGGACACAACCGGATCAAACCGTGACCCATCTTGGGCAGGGGTGCTCCTCCCGCTCCTCCACGAGAGCCTTTCAGAGAAGAGCTGGCCACGGGGATGGCCAGCCCGGGAGCCACTACCGTCCCGGGGAGAGGGGGCCAAGCGGCTGTTCGGCAGGTCTTCACTGGTGGTCGTGGGCCTCACTCGTTTGCGCTCCTGATCAGCAGCCGTGCTTTGGCCAGGCTTGGCAGACCGAGGGCCTGACGGAGCAAGGCAGCTTCCTGCATTCCCGCGTGCATGGTCTGGGATGCTGGAAGTTGTAGTCCAAAGCACTGTGGGGCACCAGGGTGGGGGAAGCCAATCTAGGCAACCTGATGCTCTTGCGGCCAAACTGCTCGATCTGGCGCAAGCGATGCCCAGCGGCCGAGAGAGAGCACTGCGTCTTTTCCCTTTAAAAACGGAGACGACACTGGGTCCTGTTCCTGATAGGAAAGTGGCGCTAAAAGGCACGGGGGAAGTTGAAGCTTGTGGCGTGATCACGTGAGAGATTTGCAAGGAAGCCCTGAGGTCCCGGCTGGACATCCAAAAAGGTGCAGCAGTCTTCAGGATGAGGCCCTTGGGCTGGCCGGGGGTCGTGGGCTTCTCTCTTTGCCCCGGCAGTCTGACCTCCCTCGTGACAGTGACAGCAGCGGGTCTCCTTCTCCACTGCAGCTTCCCTCTGAGTTTCATCGGAGCAACCCATGGTGCCAAACCTACTTCCAGCATGACAGTGTGTTTGCTCCCTTAGGCTGGGGCATGCCCAGGCCGGGGGGGGGGGGGGGGGGGGCCACGACGACACTTTTTGTTACCTAAACATGCATGGGATCAGGCCCTAAAGGCAGGATGCTCTCAATGAGATCAGTTAATTATGTATAAGGTAAACACTGCACTGGTTGTTCCTTTTTTAAAGATATGAAACCTTCATTTATTAACTGAAATGACATCAGTTGCATTTACAACATTCATTGCATAAACTTGGACATACAAAGGGATTTTTTTCCACCTCTGGTTAATAACAGACATACAGTGTACAAGATAATTGGCTGGATACATGTTCTAACAAATATTTGGGTACAACGACTTGTCCATAGTACATACCATTTTTTTCTTCTTTTTGTGTGTGTTTTTTTTAAATTTTATAGCTACTAAAGACACAGATCCAGAGCTACTTTGGGTCTCAAAACAGTTCATCTAAAGGTGACATAAAACACAGAGAAAAACAGCGGGAGAGGGAGAGAGAGAGAGGAAGGAAGGAAGGAAGGATGGAAGGAAGGAAGGAAGGGACCAAGAATTAGCTGTAATGGAATAAAATCTTCACCTACAACCTTCCTTAAAAATAATAAAAATCAGACCCCACCAACATGAACCTACGCCATATTTTTATTACAACCCATATGCCCACTGCAGTTTGTGGTGATGAAGAAAAATGCCCATGCAAAACACCAAAAAGGCGGGGGAGGAAAGGGAATCCTGTGTCGCCGCCACACCCGGTCCCAATGATAAATGTCCAACAGTCATTGCCTTTACACTGTACTTTAGTAACTACAAGTTTGCTATTGAAACATAAGGAAAACTTAAATCAAGGGCTGCCCCTCACAGCCTGAAGAAACAAGAACAGAAAGTGCAGTTCCAGCTGCCGATGGGGGTGGTTGGGTTTCGTTTCCTGTTGGCTGTAACCATGAGCCTGAGCTCCAGTCAAGGTCTGAGAGGTAAGGCGCGGATCTTGCAGGCTGTACATCTTGGCTCAGCCTCTCACGTCTACCTGTTGGCAGCTGCTCTCTGTTGCGACCCCCACCTTCCTACCGTTTAAAATGTATTTCCATATTATGCATGATTCTGGGGTTGGTGAGTGTGCGTGTACGCGCGTGTGTTCAACATTCAGTTCCTTCCCCTGGCAAAGGCAGGCTACAATTCGTCGGATCGGACCACGTGGAAGAGGGTGACGTTGTAGAGTATTTGATGGCCGTTGTTCCATGCATACAGAGCTCTGTCTTTGGGGTTGTAGTCCAACATGGAAATATGGGAGTATTTGTTTAGGAAGGGGATATCTATATATTCGTAAGTGGAGGTGTTGGTCTGATAGGCGTACGTCACCTTGGTCCCTCCCGAGTAGCCATTGGTGACGTACAAAGTGCCGCAGATGATGAAGCCCTCCCCGGCGCTGCGCTTGGGGTAGCTCGTGTTCCAGGTCTGGATGCTCTGCAGGGTGTTGGGGTCCAGCCGGCTGATCACGATGTTCCCTGCGTTCTGGTTGGTGGCGTACACAGCCCAGAGCCCGCTCTCGTCCACCATGAGGTCGATGTCCGAGTGGCCCCCCCAGGCGTAGTGGTAGACGTTGTTGTACCCCGCGTAGTCCAGGCTGCGCGTCTTGAGGATGGTTTCCGTCTTCAGGTCGAACTTGATGATGATGTGGCTTTGGTACTTGTTGAAATAGATTGAGCCGTTGTAGACCACCTGGCCTGTCCCAGACCAGGGGTGAGGGAGGCGGTGGGAGGTGAAGTTGTCTGTGTTCATGAAGTCAGTCATGGACTTATACTCCCGGACAAAGCGGTTGTTGTGGTAGCTGTCCATGTACCAGACCTACGGAAATACAATGGCAGTGGGAGGCAGCATTAAAAAGATGGCTGGGCTGCAGTGCCCGGGCAGATTCCCCAAAGCCGTGGGGGTGGGAGGGGGGACTGGCAGCACGGCACTCGAGCCGAGTCCCCGTTCACATGGGTGAACGCTCCCCGGGGAAATGCTCCGAGTCAGGCCTGCACTGGGGATTGCAGCAGCACACGTCCGCACGATTTGCAAGCAGAAACACGATCCTGTACCATCACTCTTGCATGACAAAATACGAAGCAGCAGCCTGAAAGTTTGCAGGCAGCGGAAGGAGGTGATGAGATGCTGTCATGCTACAGCACTCACTTGAGTCAGTAGGACTTCATAAATTAGGAGGTGCAAAATCACCAAATGCAGGCATGCCAGCTGAATGTGGCATCAACTTCTCTGCTTGACAGCCTCTTCCCTCCCCCCGTTCTTCTCCTCCCACTCCTTGTTTCCCCAGGTTGGTCACAACAAGGACTTGGATGGAAAATAAATCCCCTTTTGATTATCATTTGCTTCAGCAGAAGATGAGCTAAGATTGCCTGGGCAACAGGCAGCAAAATGAGGTGGATTCTGGTTCTTCTGTACTTACCAGACCCCACCTTGACCAGAACAGACCTAGTTCCTTCCTCTACCTGAATCATGTTTCCAGCAAGACAGGGATTAAAGCCGGCCTGTTAAACCTTGAGCCCATGTGCCACAGCTGGCTCCCCTGATCCTCCAAACGGCCATGCCCCCCTCCCAGTCCCCTCTCTCCTCATCGTCAGTCCCCGGGTGGCCTCCTGGCTTTTGTGCAGCTTCCCAGTCCTGCCTGGTGGAAATGCCCCCCCAGTGGCATAACTGCTGGCAAACGGGGCTTTCCACGAGCATGTCTGGGTGTTTTGGCCCGGCCCTTTGGCCTCTGGCCACTGCCACGAGGCCCACAAAAGGGTCTCCAGATCGGCATTTGGCCCAGTGGTCTGGGAGACATTGGGCACCTGAGCTGAAGTCAGTGACTGCCTGTCTCTCCACAGAGCATCTGCGCTCCCCTGGCTCTTCCTGCCACTGTATTTTCCTGCCCCACACCCTGCCCCATATGGGACTCAGAGAGAAGACGCCTCAGGATTGCCCCAGAGCAGGTTTGGTGCCTCCCTACCTTGCTTTCGCCTTCTGGAGCCAACGGGTCGGTCATCCACGAACCAAACCTCGAGCCAGACGTTTTTACTGTTATCGGATCACTTATTGCTGTCAACTTCCCACAGGCTGCAAAAGAGTTGAACACAAGGAAATCATGGAGTTATGCTATGGAAGCTGCTTCCATAAAGTATGGTGAAGGCCACCATGCGGGACGGCTTGAAAAATGAACTGGCCAAATCTGGGGGCCGGGGGAGGAAGAGAAGGTGGTGGCAGCTCTCCAGGACTTCTGGTCCTGATGGCTCCACCAGGACCAGGCTGCCCAACTTGGGTGGGAGGGTGCCGTCACATTCCTTTCTTCTTACAGGCTTCCCACAGGCAGCCGGTTGGCCAATGCATGGCCAGAACTTAGGAGGTGGACCTTCCAGCATCAGAGGTCTCCTTATTTTCTTAAAGTCGTGAAATCATTGGATCACAGAGCTGAAGAGGATCTCAGAGTTCCTCTTACTCAGTTCCTGTTCCAGGCAGGCCATGCTTTGCACCATGGCTGCCCAGCTTCTGCTTAAGAACCTCCCACGGAGAGCTACCAACTCCCATGGCAGAGTCTGGACAGCCGGAGTAGCTAGAGCTTTTTCCAATGCATAGCTGAAACTGACTGCCCTGGACGGTTTGCTCTTTGGTTCTTATCCTGCCATCAGGAGCAACAGAGAGCACAGCTGCACACCAGCCCTTCAGCTCTCTGAAGACTGTTCTCCAGTCTCCCTGCATTTCCCCTTCCCTTCGCGTCCCCAGGCTAATCAAGTCTACTTCCCTCAGCCATTCCGCACAGGACTTGCTTTTCAGCCCCCTTCCCTTCCTGGCTACGCTACGCCGGGTGCAATCCAACTTGCCAATGTCCTCCTTAAAATGGGGTGCCCGAAACCAGGCACAGTCCTTTTTTCCCTTCCAGGGAGCCCGAGACAACTCGCACAATCTGCCCCCTCCCCTTTCTGCCCTCACAATATCCCTGTGAGGTTGGTTAGGCCAAGAGTGAGAGGCCCGAGTCTCCCAGATCTCATTCCAGCAGCCTGACCAGTGCATCCCCCTGAGCGCAGGAAACGCCCCTCCTGCAGGGCTGGCTTGCCGGCTGCAAAAGCCTTCAGCGAAAGCACTCCTGTGCTCTTGCCATTCTGGCTCCATCCCATCTGCATTCAGTGGTGCACAATGCTGGGATGCACCACCCCAATTGCTCCCCAGACTGGTTTTTCCCTTGGGTTGAGCTTCTGCTCCCAGGATCCAGGCCATCCCAGAGAGCACCAGACTGCGCAGCACTGCCCAGATCTCACAACGAAGCACCTGAGGTACCGCGGAATGTGCAGAAAGTGCTCTGCGGCAGCTCACAAACGCCAGCCTCTGGCCTTCTGAAGCCTCTTGTGTCACCTGGGGAGCCAGATCTTGGGGCAGACAAGCCATGCCGGCTCTCTGAGGCTCCCAATGAGCAGGTGCTGGGCGTGTGCAGGACACGCACCGAGAGAGAAGGAGGGCGGGAGCGGGGGAGTCCCAGTGACGGTTCTCTTCAGCAATGCGGCTTCCAGCCTTCTCTCTCTGGGCTGCTCTTTCTCGCTGCCTCTCACTAAAGCTGATCCAGCCGAGAATGATCCGTCCTGCCCGGCTCCTCCCCCTCAATGCAGACCTGCCTGATCGCCCTGAAAGAATCTGCCCTGAAAATAATCGCAAGCGAAGCAAATAGACTATTTAGCAAGGGGCGCCCCGGAAGACAGTTGGATGGCCAAATCATGAGGAAGGAGAGCTGCCCGAGGCCTTCGCCCAGACGAGCAGAAGCCCCATCTCCCACTCTGACTTGCATATTTGCACTTGCAAGACTTCACAACAAACACACACCTTTTTCCTAAAGCAGCAATGAACGGCCTCCTCCCTGCACAGTTCAGTGGCACCTGCATGTGTGCCTGTTTGGGGGACGTGAGAACCAGCAACACCTGAGCTCACCAGAGTGCCCTGAATTCCATCTAGAAGCTTGATTTGACTCAGGTCCATTTCCAGCTGTGCACTGGCTTGCTTTTTTGCTTTCTGCCTAAAGGCCTGCGCATTTCCATGCATGTTTTCCCAAATGGATGCATCAACAGTGCACACCTTGGAAAAGGATGCATTCTTCTCTGATTGATCCCACCTTGATGGCCACTTTTTCCAAAAGTGCAGATTCTTCCTGGTGTGTTTTTCAAATGCTTGCATCTTGTCAAATGCAAACTTTTGGTCCTTAAATCACAAAGTGAGCTTGCAAATGCACAGACTCCAAGGGCCGACTGCTTCCAGGGCCTCGTTCAGACTAGAAAATGTAGGATTGAATATGCTCTGTGGGGGCAGGATGTGAACAGGGAGGGGGGCAGAAAACTGTCAGGGGGGCAGGCAGCGGAGGTTGGTGGGGGAAGGGGAGCACGTTGCACCAGGCAGCCTGGGCTGCAGGCCCCGCTCTTCACTGAGAAAAGCCCCCAAAGTCCGCAGCAGTGGAGCTGGCTCTCTCTCGGGATTCCACATGGCCCTCTGGGGCTGCAGGCCAGTGGTGGGCGGAGCCAGGCAAAGGGGTGGGCCCCAAATGACCCCACGCTGTAGCTTCGTGAGGACACGGGGAGAGCCCTGCCAGACCGGGGCTCATTCTGGCCCACACTGTTCACACAGTAGCCAAGGGGGGCCCTTGGGGAGCCCTCCTGCCCGTGTTCCCCAGCAAGATCTTCCTTCCAGGACTGGAGCCTTGCAGTGCATTTCAGCCCGTTGGAGGTTGAGGAGCGGGGTAAAGAAGCAGGAAAAGGTGGCAGGGCCATGGGCTGGCCCTCTGGGGCATGTGCCCCCATACCAAAGGTCGAGCACCCCCAGCCTGCAACCACCGAGGGAGCACCCCTGGCCCAGACTGCCTGCTTGCCCTCTGCCCTCCACAGGAGCCCCAGCCGCCATGAGCTCATGGGAACTGCCGTCTGCCGCAGGGCACCAGTCTGTACCATCCTCTGGAGGGCTGCTGCTGTTCCAGGAACCAGCCAGAGAGCTGCCCTGCAACTCCTCGAAGGGCCTTCTGTGTGCCCACACCCGGCTTGCCCCTGAGCCGTGGCTGGTGCCGTCCTGGGGCCAGAAGCATTTGTGCCCAGCCTGTTCAGCATACCGGAGACAGTTCTCTCATGCCGCTCACAAACACATCCCCTGCCTGCAGCATCGGGGCATCTCTGCTCTAGGCTTCCTTTGGAACACGCCAATGAGCAGCGTGTGAAGTGGGGCGTCAGGCACATTCTCAGCGAGCCGAGGCAGGCAGCAGAGGCCGAGAGAGGAGCCGGCCCATTGCCTGGATGCAAACTGTTCTCCTGAACCGGAGCGTTTGAGATGAAGCTTGCTGGGGTGACAGCCCTGAACCTCTGGGCCTTGGGACCTGAGCCCCACCGTCGCTGGGACTGCTGTTCCCCATCCTTGTGCACTTGCTAAAAAGGAGACTTTTCCGGAGGTTGTGTGGAGAGCTCCTCCTGGCATTTCCAAAGGTGAGCATGTTCTCGGTGGCTTTTCTCCCTCCTTCCCCTTGTATAGCAGCCAGTCTCTCTCTCTCTCTCTCTCTCTCTCACACCTGCTTCAATAGTGCTGCCACGTTGCCTGGGGTGCCTTGGTGGTGGCCGCTGCCCATCAGACCCACCAGATGCTGCCCACCCCACCTTGGGGTGCCCCTGCCTGACTACATGTCACTCTGTGTGCTCCTTTGCCCGGTACCCCCAGAGCTGCTCTTTCCTTTGTCGGGGAGCAGCTTTCCTAATATAAGGCAGGTGGACCATGGTGCCATTAGCGGCACTCCGGGCTGGAGCTCTGGACCGAGGATGCCAGTGCAGAGCATGGGGAGTGTGACTGCTGGGACCTGGCTGAGGTTTGCTTGGTGTGTTGCTCGAAACAGACCTATTTAGGAAAGTTAATCTGGAAACCAACCAACCCGCAGTTCCTATGGGAAGGAGACACAAGTCTGTCGGGAAGCAGCCTTTCACACTGTGGGGCCCTTCCCCTTCTCCCTGCCCTGTGGGGGCTGGAGTGGAGTGCGGTCTGTGCATGCCCAGGAACACCTCGCCTCTCCCGTCCTCTTTGGTTCCAGGGTGAGAAGCCCCACACTTTGAGAACAGATGTTGGAATCTGAGCAGTGATGCAGGGGGGTTGGTCTTCCAGGGCGGCTGCCCCAGGACTTTGTGATCCATGGGGGGCGCCCCCTGCTCCCCCGCCCCGCCTGGTCTTCCCTTCCCCCTCAGAGCCAAGCTGCAGCCCCGGCAGTGCGTGCACCCGTGCCATGGGTTCCCTGCTCCGGCGTTCGTGCACTGGGGAGGGCTTGGCCTGGAACTGACATTTTGGCCCACTCGCTCCCCAAGCATCTGCTCCCAGTGGAGGGAAATGGCTACAGCTAAGGACGGGCCTGGGGTGCCGGGCTCTGCGGGCGGGCAGGCGGGCTTGCCGGGACTGCTCCTGTGGGGGCTGCTCCTCCAAGCTGACCTCCCCAGCTCCAGTGGAGCCCTGTCCAGCCGGCGCAGACCCGTGCCTCTCCAGCACGGGCCGCCGGCCTCACCATCGCCACCAACTCAGCACCAAGGGCGAGAACACCACCGCCTCTCGGTGGGCCGGCGGGTCTCCTCGCTCCCGTCTGCACAGCCTACCTAATTTTTGCATGCAAGCCCGGAGCCTCTCTTCCAGGTTTGACACTCTGCTCTGGAGCTCTTCGTAGTCATACGCGCCAATCTCCTCCTGGAGCTCGTTAAGAACTGACGTCAGATTCTGGACTTCCTCTTTAAACTGCAAAACCAATTTGGCATCGGCTTTGTACTCCTCCAACACTGGGATCAAAGGCCTAAGTTCCTCCATTTTCGCTTTTATCGCCTGCAAGGTTAAAATAAGCTTGGTTTCAGTGCTCGGCCTGCAAAAGCCCTCACCGCCCCTGCCTTCACGCTTGTCGCTGCCGGCTCGCGATGCGCCTCGTGCACCCCCTCGCAAGAATGACCATCATTATTATTAATATTATTAATGCTGGGTGGGTGGGGAGTTCAAATGTGGAAATAATATATAAATATTTTTCTTTATATCTATATATAAGATATTAAACAGTCGGAAGGACACCGTCTTATTTGGGAAAAAGGCCTTTATTTAGAATTTTTTTTCGTTTTTAGAATGCAACATCTTAAGGTTACATGCTTCGGTCACATACACAAATTCTTTTTTCTTTTCCATAAAATAATAATAATAATAATAATAATAATAATAATAATAATAATAATTGCATTGACAAGGAGTTCCAAAACTAGTGATGAAATGCGTCTCTACAGTTTACATGCAAAGGAAGAGCTCCTGGTTGTGTGTGGTGTTCATAATGGTGCTAATTGGCAAAACGAAAGAGAGAGAGAAACCAATAAGGGAAACAAATAGAAGAAGAAATCAAAGGATGGTGGGAAAAGCTCTCTGCCCTCTGGGCTTTTTCATGGGTACATGTGTGTGTGAGGATGAACAACTTCTTCAGCCAGTGCGACATTGTAAAAATTTCTGTTAAGTTAGCCCTGTAAGCAAGAAGATGAAACACTGTTGAAGAGACTGCATGTGCTGGTCTGCCTTAAACAGAGACAGCTATTAGCTGACTGGTCAAATGCATACTTTAAACAGCCCCGCAGCTCGGACTTTTCTAACTGCACCACGCTCAAGCACCTCTCGCTGGTCAGCACAGTTACCGGCACAGCCTGTGGCTGTGTTAAAAACAAAAACTAAAGCGCTTTTCCCAGACAGCCTCCAGCTTCCCCCGGCCCAGCCAGCGGTGCGGGCTGCAGTGGCGGCAGAGGCCGGGCTGCATCACCCCTTCCTAACCTGCACCCTGCGCACGGCGGGCAGTGTCCTGCCACACGGTTCCCCCCCTCCTCACTTCCCCCGTGGGGGGAGCAGGTGGAAGGCTGCATAGCCAGTGGGGACCGGCATCTCCAGGAGTCCACTGGGGCAGATTTCAGAGAGGCGGAAGTGGCCGCGTTCTGAATGAGCCCCGTGGTCCAACCAGCCCAGTGTAGCTGACATGGACTGGCAGCAGCGGCTCTCCAGGGTGCTGCCAGGAAACAAACCCATGCAGAGCAGGGGCCACCCCTGAACAGCGGCCCTCCCCTCGAGCAAATGGTGGTGACCTGGTAAACGGGAGGCCGGCTCATGCCCTAGAGGCCTCCGCCGAGAAACAAGAGGAGCAGGTCCTCACAGACGCCACCCACCCACCTTCGTCCACCCGCCACGGGCAGCTGAGGGCCCCCCCAGTCAGGCAGCAGCAAAGCTGAAAGGACGGCAAGGCACCCCGGTTCCCTGCAAGGATGGAGTTGCCCCAAGTGGCGGCATCGGACTTGGCACGGACCGGCCGACTGCCGCTCCTCCGAACAGGGCAGGCCAACCGTGGGGCCACAGGGGTGCGGTGACTGGGGAGGCCCAAGTGGCTGGCCTGGTGCCCCACTGGGTTGGATGGGCGCACAGGGACGAGGGCTCTCTCCTCCCGAACGAGGCGACCGGTCAGAGCCGGCGTCTGGAGGAGGCACAGCGGGCCCATGTGGGGGCGCAGGCCAGCGGGGAGCCAGGCAATGGCTCCCCCCTGCCCTGCACCCCGTGCCTCCTGCTCTGGCCCAGAGGGAGGGGCAGAAACAGGGCGGGGGGCTCCTTTGCCAAGCAGGCAGTGAGCAGCACGAAGAGGGAGGGGAGGGAGCAGGAGCAGCTGGGACCACGGGGCCATGGGAGATCTGAGGTGGGGACCCATGGGGTATCTCTGCTGAGGGTCTCCTGGACCTGGAAGTGGAAACCTGCTCTGCCCCCACGCCTGCCCCTGCCTGGGGAGCTAGCTGGAGCTGGGACATCTCCACGCTGGAGCCAGCCCCGCAGGCCCCCGCCCTGGAGGCGGCCCACAGGGTGCCTCTCCGCTACCCGGGCTGAAGGGAGCCAGGCATTCGGTGGAGGGACTGCGCCTGGTCTGGCGTGGGGGCCCTGCGAGGGGATCCCGAGCAGGCGGGCACGTGAAGGGAAGTGGGGCAGGACAGAGGGTGGCTCCTTCGCCTGGCCCCTGCTGGGGGGAGACGAGCCCTGCACAGGGACGTGCTCACCTTGAACTGCCTGGCCAGGTGCTGTTTGTGGCTTTCTTCCACTTGCTTGAACTTAGACTCCAGCCCTCGCATCTGGTTCTCCATCTTCTCGACATACTGCAGGTCTCGCTGGGTCCGCCTGTCCAAGACCTCTATTGACTGGGACATGTTCTGTACCTGTCCATGGGATGGGGGTGGGGGGCACAGGAAGAGAAGGAGGCCAATGGAATCAGGGAGACCAACAGCAGCAGGGCTTGGTGGGCATCGGGGTGGCAAAGCTCTCCCAGTCCACGGGGCAAAAGGTGTGGGCGAAAAGCACCCGCAGTGCGGCCTCAGCGCAGACCTCGCACCGAGGCTCACGAGAGGCAGTGCAACCTGTGGGAACAGGCTGTGGAGAAATGTGTTTCTGTGCACCTTTGATGAGGATTGAACTGATGTGCACCTTCCAGATCGAGCACGGACCCAGAGGGGATCTGGGTCGGTCTGCACAATTCTGGGCTTACATGCTGCTTTACAGCACTCCTCACAAACTGCTTGACCACTTGTGTACATTTTAAAATGCATGTGAAAAACAGAGCACTTTTGAAAGGATGATGCAAAGCTCTTGCTGAGCAAAGGGTCAAAGATGTTGTGAGGACGAATGGGGCCAGGCACCTTACTTTTTGCAGGACGGCTCTCTGCTTGATGGCATCCTCTCTCTGAAGGCGCCCTCTCCCAAGAAGGGAAATTACAGGGTCTTGGACATGTCCTGCACCCACCGGCACCTGGGCGGTGGGCACACCTGGCCCCTGTCTTGCTTGCTGTGGGAGAGATGCTGCATTTCCATTTCAGGCAGATGGACTGGGTCCACGGAGGAAGCCACAGCCCTGACGGTGGGAGAGCTGAGTGCAGCTGTCGCGGACAGGCGCCAGAAGCAAGCTCAGAGGCAGCTTGACAGCACACGGCGACACCGGCAGCATTGCTCAATGGCACCTCAAGATGTCAGTCAGCACGCACAACACCCTACAAGTCTGCCCCTTCTCTTGCCTTGGAGATGCCTCCCCCTCTTTGGCAACACCCAGGTGGCCATCCCTGGGCGAGCCTCTCAATTCGTTCCAAGGATGGGGAGAGGAACTACTTCGCTCTATGTAACAAACTGGGGCTGCTAGTCTTTCACATGCAGAGGTGATTATACATTTAGTTGCAAAAGTCCAATTAATTTAATGGGGTGGGGTAAAGTCATTTCACAAGACTTTGTGGATTCATTAAGCAGTGAATCCCTTGATCTCAAGATGTTACCCTGTAAGAAGATTCCTCTGATGACTGTGGGCTGTAGACAATGAAACGCAGATCACTCGATGTTGGTGCAGACACAGGGGGAAAAGAAAGAGGGGGAAAGCTGATCTTTTTTCCTTTCCTTACTATTTGGTGCCCAAGCTTTCTCCAGGAGAGGAGAGACTGCTGTGGCCATACATTTCGATTTTGTGCTGCCATCACTTTTTGGAGCCTGGTCCTCTGAAATGTTTAAGCATTGCATTAATGAAAAGCAATGGGATCTGAGCCAATTGAAAAAATATTTTCTCTTAGTCTATTGATTTATTTGGGGCAACAGCCTAGCTTTCATCTTTTCATGCTTTTAATTAACATGGAAAGCATTCTGCCATCTTAAACTTCTCAAAAATATATTTGGTGACTTTCAGAAGTGTAAAATTCAAGGGAAACAACTCAATTGCAACAAATGGATTGATTTCACCTGTGGTTCTGAGTCAGTCCCCTGCACACTTTAATGTCAAATAGTATTGTTAATTTTTAAATTGTACCTCTGGTTCTGCTTTTCTGACACCAACCAAGATGGTTTTCCAGTTATTCTTAAAATACTTCCTGGATGTTCAGATTTTCAAAGATTAACTTCCTGGAATAGCTTACAATATTTTGGAGTTGAAATGCAAAGGTATTTTGTATTCTGCATCTGATGACTTCTGTTACACTACTGAGACCTCTAAAGATGTCACATTTTCAAAGGTGGAAAGGAAAAGTTCACATCCTAATGCACTTTTTACACATGACATTTCATATTTGAAATGTGAATTATAAAAGTAAAAAATAGGGTGCATTTTGAATACTGGGGGAGATCCTTCTGCTTATTCCTGTCTTTTGCATAGCAGCAGAAAAGATACCAAATTTTTTTTAAAAGGTTAGCTTGAAGCAGCCTATGAAATAAATCGACCAAACGCAATGGCCAAGGGCAAGGGCCAAGTTCTCTGAACATTTTCCTGACATCCTGGAATGGCCTTTCCCAGGCCGAGGCTGGGGAAGAGACACCCAGTGCTCCAGAATGCTGGCCAGGCCAGCTGGAGCAGACGGGAGCTGAAGACCAAGCCCTTGGAGGGCGCAGGCTACGTACCACAGCAGGTTTAATCTTTAAAAGTGTGTCCTTAAATGACATCCTGACCACTTATTCCATAAAGATTCAGTTGATTAATCTGCCACTGAAGCACATTACAACTTTGCAGAACACCTGAAAGTGGATGGAATCATTAAAGTATGCCCTTAAACAGCAACTCTACTAATTACTCAAGTCCAGCTTTTGTTGATTAATTTGTCCCTGAGTGTCATCCATGGGTCTGGGGGAGTGGACCCATGCCTGATACTTAGGATCCAGCCCTGCTCTTAAAAATCCAGGGAACTGTTACCTATAAACAGGCTCTCAGCTCCAGTTTGCAATTTAGGCTCATTAACCCCGCACTGGCTTGTCAGGGCAGGAACAGGGAGGGTGAGGTGGGGTGGGAAGCCTTTTCTCATTGCGGCTGCAGCTGTCGGAGGTGCTCTCGGGGGCCACATCCCAGGGTGAGCAGAGCTGAAGGCAAAGGGGGCAGGGCCAAAGTCTTTTTGGTGACATTTGTCAAAAAATTGTAAAACTCAAATACAAACTATAAATACTTTAAAAAAGAAACTGGGTGCGTTTTTCCTTAAAGGTTTACTGCCAGTAAGTAGTGCTGAGGGGAGCTTTAAGGGGTGGGAGAAGAAAATGTACGAAAGGAGGAGAGCACCAAAGGACCGACACCTGGAGGAGAGTGCCGGTGCCCCCCCCCCCGCCATGCAGGGATGGGCAGGGTCTCCCGGCCTGAGGCTGTGCATCCCTCACCAGGACCCCCGACCTGACCGCCCTCAGGAGCATCCCTTACCTTTTCTAATAGCTGCCGCAGCTGCTTTGTCCGGGCATCACGGGAGCACATGGTCTGTTGAGGCGCCACAACTGTGCATATACACCGGCCTTCGCTGTCCTGAGCAGAACTGTACACCTGCCAGCTTTCCTCCGGGTTGGTGGGCAGCACCTGCACAGACAGGTGGCACAGGAAGGGTGAGAGGGGATCACACAGGGCCTTCAGTCTGCAGAGGCAGCCCCCCTCCCCAGTGGCATTTGGGGAGGGCGTGTTGGGAGGGGCGGCACAGGAGGGGTGCCGAGTCGCAGCAGGGAAGGCCCGCCAGATGGCAGGAATGAGCCTGGCACGAAAAGGGTGTGACCACCCAGACAGCGACAGCAAGTGGGAACCGGGTTTTGCTGAAGAAATGCCTGCCATCAGCCCCGTCCTCCCAGGGCTCCTGAAACGCCTCCCAGGGAGTCGGGATGCCCTGCTAGGTGGGGATCTGGGGCTGTGGGGAGGCAGTGCAGCAGCAGCCCGCCTTAGGAAAGGAGCCTGGAATTGCTCCCTGGTGACCCTGGATCGCTGGGCGGCCACTGCCCCACCGTCCTGCTGTTTTGGGGCCAAAGGCAGTGTGAGGAAATGACCCACGGGGGTGGAACAGGGATTGCTCCAAAACAAAGGTGCCTGACCCTGATTCAGAGCTGGAAGAAGGGTGAGGGAGGGGGTTTGGCTAAACTTCCAAGGCCAAAGAACTGTGAGATCGGGCAAGCAGCTGGCAAGAACCGGATCCCCTTTGGCGTGGGCAGTGCAGAACGCGGGGTCAGAGGGGGAGGGGCATGACTTCACCAGTCCCTGGCCCCGCTTTACGTTGAATGAGCAGACCAGTAAAATAGCACCTGGCATTCCTGCGGTTTGGATCCTGCACAGCATGAACCTCCCTGAGGGTGCAGCCAACCCTATTGGGTGAGGAATGGTAGAGAAATTCTGGCTGGAATCCACTCCTAGTATAGCAAAGAACTAGCGTCACAGTCAGAAGGTCTGAACTGGATGGGTCTCTCTTGCTGACCACCTTTAAGAAAGACTATTTTGAAGCCTGGGAGAGGCAAAGGAGAGAGTGTGCCAGGAGAGATACTGGCACATGATGGCCGGAGCCCCAGTCTGTCCTTCAGAGTCCTGAACCACTGCTCCACTCCCCCACCCTTGCGGGAAGAACGGTCCAGGAGCCTGGAGGATGTGTCTCCTTATCCCTTAGGCTTGTTCACCCCCTGAAATGAGCTGCCCTCCTCTCCCCTGCAGGTGTCATTCGGGGACAGGCTCCTTTAAAGATACACGCAGACTTTAACATCTCCGCAAATTAGCACAGGAACCTGCTTTTTGTCCTGCAGGGCTGATCCCTGAAGCTTCTTAATGCCTAGCACCATCAGCAGATGTGACGGGGGACCCTCAGAACTGGAGGCAGGAAGTTTCTGTGCATGGAATTCTTCCCTTCAAGGAAAGCCCCTTTGCTCTGCAAAAGGCAAGTCCTAATTTCAGCATTGTATCATTCCATGTGCTCATTTAAGAACTGAGTCAGACAAGATGTGAAAATCAGCCCTTGCCCACTGGCACCTTCCAGGGGCACAGGATTATTCTCAGCAAAGTTCATTCTTTGTAAAGACGGCCCCAAACACACACCCTTCTTCCCAGCCACTGATGATTGAGTGATTTCCTGAATTTGTACCTTCCCCCCTCCACTCAGATGGGTAAAATGCCTTTTCTGAAGCTTAGGAACTGGTAGTAAAAATTTTATACTACAATGGGCTGAACTTCTTGGTACCTTTGCCCCTCCCCCTCTTGGAAAGTGCCCCTCCAGGAGATTTTCTGCAATGGAACATGGCCCTCTAGTTGAACCATCTACAACACCTTGTAAAAAAAGGATTATATTTATGTATTGCATTTATTTCATTTCTATAGCACCCAATATCCAAAGCAGTCTGGTGGCGGTGGCAATAACCACAAGGATAACAGGGAAAGAACCAACCGGACTTGGGGGGATCCCCCATTTCCTCATTAAAACCAGCACTCGGCCAAACTGGTTGGCCCTGCCCCACCCCCAAACTGCCCCACCACTTCCTGAGTCTGCAATTCCTAAAAGAGACAGTGAAACATCTGGCCGTTTGTCCCCATTTTTCAGGTATGCGCTGTTCCAAAGAGCATCTCCAGGGTCTATTTTTGCCGCTGCATCAATAATTCACCACTTTAAAAGCATCTTTATGGCCAGCCTGTTCCTCAAGCGGCGGGGAGGAGCAGGAGAGGACTAGATGGTAGGAAAGCGCTCAAAGCGTAAGCTCGGCCGGCTTTTCTGCAGAGGTCGGCAGGAGTGGTGGGGCAGAGCTGACTAGCTTTGGTTCCTTTCTGCTTTGCAAACAGACAGTCCCAGAACCTCCAGCTGAGGGAATCCAGTGCTGGGAAGCTCTGCTTGGCATCCTGGGTCGGTGCGGTCAGTCTGACAGAAAGCTGAGCAAGACAGGCTGGCCCAACTCCAGTTCATGGAAAGCCTTTCTTATGAGCAGAGGGGGGCAGATTTAATTAAATTGTTCCACCCATGTTACACAGCTAGAATCCTCGAATGGCAGAGCTGGAGGGGGCCAGAAGGTCAGCGGGTCCAAGCCCAGCTCAGTGCAGAACTCCCAGTTAAACCACCCCCTCAGATGGCTGACCAGCTGCATCTGGAATGCCCCGGCGTGGGAGGGCCCAGGAGCTCCTGAGGTCCGTGATTCCGTCGCCGCACTGCCCTAACACAGCCAGGGAATTTTTCCCGATATCTAGGCCGGAAGCTGTACCGTGAGCCCATTATTCTGTGACCTGTGCTCTGGAGGAGTGCAGGAAGAAAGTGTTTCACGAATACTGGACTGACGGAAAGATGAGCAAGTGAATCCAGAACTTTCCCTAGAAGCAAAAATGGCAAAACTGAGGCTGCCAAAGTTTGGGCATACTGTGAGAAGGCAAAACTCCCTGGAGAAGGCAATCATGACAGGGAAAGTCAAAGAGGGAAGAAGACCGCCAAATACGAGATGGGCTGACTCCACGAAGGAAGCCTCGAGTTGACAAGAGGCGGACAAGACTGCCATGGACAGGACACTTTGGGAGGATTTCATAGATAAGGTCTCCGTAAGTCAGAGGTGACTTGATGGCAGAAAACAACAGCCTCTGTTGGATATATCTGGAAGGCACCAGGTTGGGAAAAGACAGATTAGATGCCCTGTACGTTTCTGGTGACACCTAGAAAGGAACTAAGTGAATCAGATCCCCTCTGGTCCATCCAGCCCAGAACTGCTGACATGGACTGGCAGCAACAATTCTCCCGGGTTTCCGGCAGAGGTTTTTACAGTCCCAGCTGGAGACCCTACTGGGCAATCAGGGACCTCTGGCATGGGAAGCAGGGGATCTACCACAGAGCCCTGTCCCTCACACAAAAATCAGAGAAGGTGCAAGTCCTCACGGCTCTGATGCATGTAGAGCCGATTCGGCTGGGAACACCGGGAGCTGCCTGGTGTGGAGTCAGTGCCCAGGCCATGTAGCCCAGTACTGCTGACCCAGACCGGCAGCGGCAGCTGCCCAAGGTTTCAGGCAGGGCTCTCCCAGTACCCAGGCAGAGGTGCCAGTGGGACTCGAACAGGGGCTCGGGATGCAAAGCAAGGCCTCCCCCACTGCGCCACAACCTCGCCTCGGGCTTCTCTGGCAAGCAGGCCTGTAATGACTGATCCTTGCCGGGCCCAAAAGTATGATATCCTGTCAAGCACCATTCTGAGGAGGCAGCAGAGCCCACAGTGCCTGGCTGAAGGGCTCCGGGTGCATGCAGGACACGTGGGAGGAAGGAAGGAGAAAGGGCAGGGCAAAACAGCAGCGGGGAGCAGCCTCCTCCAGCACGAAGCTTTCCGGAAGCCTCACGCGTGCTCTCACCCCAGCAGGCGGTGGAGGAGAAGCTCGGACCGGATCGGGACATCGCCAGCGAGTGGTGGTCGAGGGAGACGGGCTGCAGTGGGGAAGGGGCTGTGCCAGGAGGGCTGAGTCTTCGTCACCAGTGTCTGACAGTATTGTAGTAAGTCCCTGGCCCTAGTTAAGATTCAGCCTCGCTGAAAACCCATCTTGCCCTGGTGTGCGGCGCCAAGCTGTTTTCATCGGCAGGTCACGTGAAACTCGCCTGCGGAGAGCCGAGCTCCGGTCCGTGTGTTTGCCTGACGTGCCGCCTCTCCGCCCAGCAGATCCTGAGGAGAGCGCCCAGGCAAGGTCCACTGGGGGCAGCATCCCAGCCACACCACCTGGGCCTCTGCAAGCACCCGGAGCCGCTTCCGAGAGTGACCCTGGCCTGCAGAACGCCCTCCACGTGGGGCACATTTGGGGAGTGACCCACAGGGCTCCGTGCATACCTGGCCAGCAAGGCGCACTCGAGCTGTCGAAAATCTATTTAGTGTCCTTTTGCTTCGAAACGTCTACATGTGCTCTCCTTTGTCCTTGAAAACAGGACTTGCTGCTTAATACTTCATTCCCTGTAAGCTTCTTGGGGAAGCAAGAGCACAAACTGGAAGAGATCAGCCCCTGCCTTGGGGGGATTCTGTTCCAAAGGCAGGGGGTCCCAGACAGTGGTGGGTTTTGTGGCATCAGCGATGTCCACAGGGCACGGGGGAAAGCTCCGGGCTGCACCAGCCTCCTCCTGGCAAGAGAGACCCGTCATGTCATGGCAGCTGGACCTTATGGCTCCCCTCAGACTGCTGGAAACCAGGAGACAAATGTCGGAGTTCTCCCACACACCCACATCTGGGTAGTAGAAGATCCAGCTGTAAAGCCCACACAGACCACAGAATCTAGTGTGGATCCTAAAGCTGATGGGGAAATGAGCTGACATTTGCTCACCTGACTCAAGAGGGATCAGTGCAGGGCAGGGGAGAGACAAGGAGAAAACATCACCTGAGTGTCATGAACCTACCTGTGTACACCTGGAGATCCCTTTAAAATCCCTGCCCCCAGTGGGAGTCAAAGCCAAACAGGTGGGGTTTTAGGTCCATTTCTAGCAGCTACCTTTCTCTACCGTCATTGTTACTCCAAAGTAGCTGCTGGCAGCTGGACATGGATTGGGACCCCTGGGGTGCTTTTAAGAGCTGGATCAGCCCCCTCTGCACACAGGATCATAATCGCTGCAGGGTTAGAAC